CTAGATGTCGCTACAGTAGAAGGTTCTGGAAACTATCTGAGGCCCTATATAAGGCCGGTATAGACCACGACCGGGGCAGTATTGAATTGGCGATACAAGAGAATACTTCTAAGCGAAATAACGGCGAACTGTGTTTTATTATTAGTGTGATTTTAAGTTGTAATTAGTGTTGTGTAATTAAATAGTCAATTTTGGTAATTCACTCGGCAGTTTTTAATTATCTCGAATTCCAAGCTCGTAACAATTGGTGTCAGAAGTGGGATTAAATCATGCCGATTTTACCAAAGGAAGACGTGGAGGGTATCCGTACTCGAAGTCAACGCCAGCTGGAAACGGACCAGAGACGATTTGGTAATACAACGCCGCAAACATCGGAGGGCCAGATGCTGACCACGGAGGCCGGTCGGTCATCAGCTCCTGCATCTACAGCACCTGACTTAGGTGCTTTGATTATGATGCTACAGGAACAGGCTCGCCGACAGGAGATACAGATCCGTCGGTTGGAAGAGCAGCTGCAGCGCGGACATGAGGAACAGGCCCGCCAACAAGAGGAACAGGCCGGCCAACAGGAGGAACAGGCCCGTCGGTTGGAAGAACAGCTGCTGCGCGGACAGGAGGAACAGGCCCGCCAACAGGAGGAACAGGGCCGTCGGTTGGAAGAGCAGCTTCTTCTCATGAAGGACCTTCACGCTACCTTCGGGAAAGAGATAAGGGAGGTGAAGGATAGGGTTGCTCAACATGACAACCGCCTGTCGGAAGCTGAAACCCGTATCGACCAAGTGAACAATCGGGTTGACAACGTGATGATTGACGTGAAGAAAACGCTGAACGACCTCAAAATTGGGGATGGAGTTACAACTCCCGTGGTAGCTACAACACCTTCGCTACGTGGATTCAAAGTGCCACCGTTCGACGGGACTTCTTCCTGGTCGGCCTACAAAATCTAGTTCGAGGCTGTCATGAAAGCGAACGGCTGGAATAAAAGTCAAGCCATGACTGATCTCACCCTAGGCCTACGCGACCAGACCTTAACTGTTCTGGAAGCTCTCGGTAAGGAAGTGACTTACGAGCAGCTCCTTGAGGCATTGGAAGCGAGATATGGCGACGCTCACCTGGAACACGTCTTTCGTGCGCAGCTCAAAGATCGCGTGCAATTCAGTAACGAAAACCTGCAGCAGTGGGCCCTTGAGGTGGAGAAGCTGGTTCGAAAAGCGTACCAGTCTGTACCTGCGCTCATTGTATGGAACCTGGTGCAGACATTCATCGACGGCATTCGCGACCTTGAAGTCAGAGCTGCTGTGAGGCTCGGGCACCACGAGACGCTTAAGGACGCCTTGACCCATGCACTGTAGGTGTAAGCCGTGCAGCAGGATCATCGTTCCCACCGCGTCAGGGAGGTTGCAGCAGCTACAGTTCAGGACCGCAAGAAAAGCTACAGCCCTAGGTGCTACGGCTGTGGGGAAAGGGGCCATCTTCGATCCAGCTGCCCTAAGCGAATTGTAGAAAGGGAAGGTGATCGATCTCGAGAGGGTAGTGTGGCTAACAGCACCGCCCAGCAGCAGCAGGGAAACTGGCGGGTGCTGGCTGATGTTAAAAGAGCCCCAAGGATTTCGATTTCACAAACCCGTGATGGGAACAGCCTGATCATCAAGGGCGAGGTCAACGGAACACCGTGTAAACTGACCATAGACACTGTAGCCTCTCGCACGGTTGTCAGTTCACAACTTATAAGTCAGTTCCTTGGGGACTCCGCATACAACCGCGAACGCATTAATTTGGTGACATCCACCGGTCAGCGTATACCCGTTCGTGGAGAGAAGGAGATGGAGTTGAAGCTAGGCAACATGATCTACCTGCATAATGTCATCGTGGCTGATATAATGGACGACTGCATCCTGGGCCTAGACTTTATGAGGAAGAATTGTTGTGAGATCGACGGTAAGCAAGGTGTTTTGACAAGAGGAGCTTTTCGTGGAAGGGGTGTTACCAGGGAATGTGTACAGCCTTAAGAAGATTGTTCTTCCACCGAGATCGGAAACGATTGTGCCGGTTAGTCTTCCTCGGAGTCCTGGGCAAGCTCATCGTTGTGTACTCGTGGAAAGGGTAGACAATAACCTTCCATGGAAAGTGGCTCGAACCTTGGTCAGAACCACCGACATCTCAGGAGTACGTGTGTTGAACCTTTGTGATCAGGAACAGATTATAGAAAAAGGCACATTGGTTGGTACTAGTGAGGAAGTGGATTGGTTGCGTCGGTGCGAATATCTATTGACTGGGACCCCCAGCAAGGATGGACAAACGAGAGTGACCACACTTTTAGAAGACTGTCGCAGCGTTCTCTCCCCGAATGAAATGGTCAAGGCGAAGAAGTTGTTACTCAAGTACGCCAATGTTTTCTCGTCAAAAGAAGCTGACATAGGAAAGACTGGCTTAGTTCAACACAAAATAAACACAGGAGAAGACACCCTCTAGTGTCGTGTAAAAGAAAGTGTTGCGCGCTACTATTAATGTCTTGTACATGGCAACACTAGTTACACTAGCGCCCTCTAGTATCGAGTAGCAGAACTAGGAGAGTCAAGATCCTTCCAGAAATTTCGGGACCGATATGTACTCGAACATTTTAGATGTCGCTACAGTAGAAGGTTCTGGAAACTATCTGAGGCCCTATATAAGGCCGTTATAGACCACGACCGGGGCAGTATTGAATTGGCGATACAAGAGAATACTTCTAAGCGAAATAACGGCGAACTTTGTTTTATTATTAGTGTGATTTTAAGTTGTAATTAGTGTTGTGTAATTGAATAGTCAATTTTGGTAATTCACTCGGCAGTTTTTAATTATCCCGAATCCCAAGCTCGTAACAATACCATCTCAACAAATACAATCCTTTAAAAATACAAGTACATTAAATACTATGTTTTTATGTCCTGTTAAACCCGAAGAAATTAGTAACATTATCAAAAAATTAAAAAATTAAAATAGTTATGGAATAGATGAATTCCCACCGAAATTAATAAAAAAATGTGTTGATTCATTAACTTCTCCATTTAGTTTTTTAGTCAACCAATCTTTTACGGAAGGAACGTTCCCAGATATATTAAAAACTGCTATAGTAAAACCTATACATAAAAAGGAATCAAAAACAGACACTACAAATTATAGACCAATTGCAATCTTCGAAAATCTTTGAAAAGGCAATGTCAAATAGAGTTTACGCATTCTGTGAAAAATTTAAACTATTTGATAATTCACAAAACGGTTTTAGGAAGAAACGGTCAACGACACTTGCAGTATACAAATATATACAAAAAGTACTTGATATACTAAATGAAGAGAAATACGCCGTAGGTATATTATTAGATATGTCCAAAGCCTATGATAGATTACAATACCCACACAATACTGTCACAGAAGTTATATGACATCGGTATACGTGATACGGCATACAAATGGTTTAAATCTTACAACCGAAAACAATATGTAGAGATGCATTATAACTATGGCACTGGTCAAATCTGTAAAGTTAGATCTGACGCAATCCACACTACTTGCTCCATCCCTCAAGGCAGCGTTTTGGGATGTTTGCTATTTATAATTTACATAAACGAACTGCCTAGGGTATATGAAACCTCTGTTACATTTGCAGATGACATCTCTATTCTTATTTCACACACAAAAGACCAGAATTTAAATAATAAACTGAATCATGTATTAAACCAGGTCACAAATTGGCTGACACATCACAACCTAGAGATCAATTTTAATAAAACTAAAATTATGCAATTCCGATCAGTTCAAAAATCACCTCTAAGTATCGCTTTTAATTATAATAATACACCTATAGGAACTGTTGAAAACTTCAACTTGCTAGGCCTGGAAATTGACTGCCATATAAACTGGAACGCACATATAAATAAAGTTAAAAGCAGGCTATCCAGGTTCACATACGCATTACGTGAAATAAAGAAAACCACAGATGGCCCCAGCGCTCTGTCATATTACGCATACACATATTCGTGGCTATCATACGGTGTCATATTGTGGGGAAATAGTACTGATGCGCAGCAATTATTTATAATCCAAAAAAAATTATAAGAATTTTGGCAAAAAAATTCCAGAAATTTGTAGGCCCCACTTTAAAAACTTAAAATATTGACTTTCACATCTATTTATATTTGGGAAGCATGCAAATTTGTAAAAAAACATCCAAACTATTTACCAAATTAAGCGACATTAATTACAAATACTTAATTAGACCTAACAAAAATAGGCTAATATTGCCGAAATCCACACTCGCATTACATAGCTCTAGTCCTTACTGTATGACAGTAAAAAATTTTAATAACCTACCAAATTACATAAAAATTATAACGGATACAACATTATTTTTATCAAAATTAAAATTATATTTAATTAGAAAAATGTTTCTATAATTTAAATGAATATTTTGTTACAAATGTTATTTAATTTGTGTAGACAAGTTGGATCTGCTTATTTTATTTAATTATTCAATAATTGTTGTTTTTATTTAATTTACTATATAATTTTATTCTGTATATTTTTTTATTTATTATTATTATTATTATTATTATTGTTTTTGTTTACTTGACATTGTGATTATCAATTGAATTGAATTTTTAGAATATTCAATAATTTATCTAATATTGTATAACTTATTTAAGTTAAGTTACATTATTAAATGTAATTTAATAATGTAACTTAATAACGTAAATCTAATAATGTAATTTAATAATAGTATTCAATAATGTAATTCAATTTTTATGATTGCTACGCCCAAACCGGGTTCAAATGCGGACTATTTTTGAAACATCACATCTATTGGTACCATTTGATTGCAATAAATTATGATTATGATTATGAACAAATAAACGGAGCTTGTGAACAAACTCAGTATTATTTCACTGCGAGTTCATCCAGGAACTCACAAAGTTTTTGGTCCTTCGAGCCGGATATAAGTATTTAAATGTAATATTTTTAAATTACTGAGAGGAAACTACGACGGTACATTGCCTTCCTCGTACTTGCGGTCTCGGTCTCGGAGCTCGAGCTTGAAGTCGTTTTCGGAGAGCGGCAGGCGCAGCAGCTGCAGCATCTCGCACAGCCCGGCGGCTGGTCTCCATCTCCACGTACCTGCGGTCTCGGTCTCGGTCTCGCAGCGCCCGGCGGCGCGCGGTCTGGCGCTGGTGCTCGAGCTCGAAGTCGTCCTCGGAGAGCGGCAGGCGCTGCATGCGCGTCAGCAGGTAGCGCTCGGCCAGCACGTCGGGCGGCGGGTGGCGCAGCAGCTGCAGCGTCTCGCACAGCCCGGCAGCGCGTTTCCTCGCACCAGCGTCCCCCAGCGTGCCCGCCAAGATCACCAGCGCCGCCTTAAACAGCACCTATCACCGACCAAACGCGTAAACTTTTATTTGTGAGCGTAATGAGGGCTAAGTCACTGGAATAGTATATTAAAAAGTAATTTTACATATTTAAGAAACTAACATTAGTATTTAAAGTGTAAAAATGTATTACTAACAAATTATGGATCAAGGTCTGAAATAAAGGAATTATTATTATTATTATTATTAATCTGTCGTTCACCAAATGTCGCTAATTGTGACTGAGGTAATGTTTTTTGTTACACAATGTCAGTTAGTTGAGAAATTAGTTTTAAATAATAGTTTATCTCTACTTTGTGACCCTAGAGAAGGTCGTGTTCGGTTCTACAAATAATTTGTTGCTGAGTGAAAACAGAAGTGAACTTTGATTTACCGTTCATTAGTCGTGCCGTGTGTTACGTTTTTGATTACGATCAACGGGGATTTAGTTGAGTTTTAAGTTAGTTAAATGTACAATAAAGTTGATGGATTGAAATAGTGTACAACAAAGTTGATAGACTGAAATAGTGAGATGAAGAAAGAAGTTGTCAATTGGTGACGTCCGCTGGAGTGAAATCACATTGTGGGGCAGCATCGGACCAGGCCGCTGCCCGATCACCGCAGTTGGGTCAGGTCACATATATAAACACTACTACACACCACTTGCAAGCCACCTACACCTACCTACCGCCTGACCGAGCCTTGGGGCAGTCTTAGCTTCGGAACCAGGTACGTACTATTTGTTTACCTAGCCTTATGTCTATTGTGTAGAATGATAAGTCTCCATAAGCCGTTGGGCCCCGTCCTCTGCTGCCTGTCGATTGGGCTACTGATGGGCCCTAGTCCAGTCTACTTTGTTGGGGCAGCTCAGGGCGTGTACAGTTTATATTTAGCCTAAACAATAATGTCACCATAAAAATCGATTGAAAAACAGAATGTACTTTCTTAACGAGATTTGTAATTGGCAACACTTTTTATTTTATCCACAAACTAATGAATTGCGGATTTACCTAATTTCATTTTTATCTTTTCGGTACATTTTTGGTCCAAAAATATTGCAATATTATATTATAATATTAGTTTGTGATACATAAATACCGCGATTAATTACCATAAAAAATATGTATTTTTTAACAAATGCAAATTGTTGGCGTTTCATGGCCAGAATTGGGCATTTCTATTTATAATCTTGATCTTTTACATAAACAATGTTGTTATAAACATATCTTAATTAATTTTAACCCTAACCTATTTTTCAAAAATCTTTATCATTATTAGTTTTTGAAACAAAGCTTTTTATACAATAAAAATTATCTATTTTGTTAGCGACAACTATTAATTCTCTTGATTGATTATAAATTTATGCATTTTTATTTTTTACTACTATTGTGCAATTTCTGGTTATTTTTGAAACGCTTAACTAATTTTGCTTAATACCTTTTACAAAATATACATTTTTTAGATCAATGTATTTTTCATTATAATAATTTTTGAAATAGATTTTAACACCTACTTTGGTTGCTTTTAACACTTTACCATCAAGCAGTTTCACATCAATGGGACTTTTTAAATCTACATAACTATAGAAACATGTACCATTCTTTATAATATGATCTGTACACTCACTATCTAACAACCAATGAATTTCACTATTATTATCATATTCCACTTCGCTACATCCCGTTACTTCGTTAACTTCTGGACGGACTCACTTCTGGGATGAATGACTCACTTCTGGGATGACCTTAACCTCTGCCTCGGCCACGACCTCGATGAAATCTACGTCTGTTGTAACGTCTTTGTGGTCCTTGTTGGCGTTGGCTGGTTGGATATCTTCCTTGATAGTTTTTTTGACCGTGCCAACAGTCCTTTTTGAGATGGCCGGTCTTTCCGAAAATAAAACAATGTGCTTTAGTTTTTGTTAAGACCGTACTCATATTGTTTTTCTTGTCTTGGTCACTACTAGTCTTATTTTTCTCTTTTATTTTAGACTACATCATCTACTGTTCTTTGTACCTCTGGATTTACATGAATAAAATCTTAAATATAACTGAAACTTGGAGGTAAAGCTCTGAGCAAGTATCTCATCATCTCAGTTTCATTTATATTTCCACCAGCCGCTTTGAAATCATTAGTTGTTTTCTCGAAATCAACAAAAAAAATCTTCTACTGTATTGTAATTGTTTAATCTCTTCAATTTTTCCTCTACATATTATCTGCATAGCAGTAGACTGTATTAAATACATCTTGTCAAACTTTTTCACCATATCGTAAACTGTTGTACATTCACTAATATATTCTCTAATTCTAATATATGCTCTAACTGTTTATCGGGATTGTGCTCATTATTATAGTTCTTGCTTTTAAATCCATTATCTTCCAAACCGCCTCTTGATTAATATATTTAGCAGAGATCATGCAAATGGCGGGTTCGTTACATTCTTTGTATTCTAGTAAAGTTACTAACCTTAATTTCTAGCTTGAATAATTTATACCATCAAAAATGGGCATCATTGTCTTCTATCTTTGCTTGTTTAGCCATTTTGGTGATGATATCGTCTTTTATTCTTGGCTCTTAACTTACACGAAGCGCGATCTACTCTCCACGTGGCCTTTTTCTTGATCTCACTATATTTCACTTATTTAACCACCCATCCACGCTCTGCTACCATGTTAGAGTGGTGGAAGTTAATAAATTAGGCCAGTAGACATATTAAGTACGTTTATTACTTACGAAATAACTTTAGCAAAAACAAATAACGGAGTACATACATAAAGCAAGCGACGCAATTCACAGACAAGACATGACATTTTAGTAGCGAATAGAGGGCGCTAATGTTACCACATAGATAACAAGACTTATTTCTCAAAACAAGATTATAACATTTACCACAGATTACAACAGTATTTAATAAAAAATAAAAAACATTTCGTATTTTTTTTTTACTTTTAAATAAAACTGTACATTTTTTTAATAGCCGTAGAAAATCAGTATGATTTAAAAAAACTTCATTTCTCCAAAAACTATTCATTTTAATTAAAATTTAATAAAATCTTATAAAATCTAATTATTAATAATCAGTATTGCCACCTCTCACATTAACTACACATCGACATCGACTGTTCATACTTAAAATTGAATTGTCAATATCCTACTTCAGTATGAAGTCCCATGTTCTTTGTGTTCGTAAAGTAGTTGTTCAGTCGTCAAATTTGGCGGAAAATCTCTCAAAGCTTTTCGTAGTTACATGTCCCAGGCATGCTCGATAGGATTTAAGTCGGGCGACTGTGCAGACCAATCAAAAACTTGAATATCATGGTCTCGGAGAGCGGCCGACACCAGCCGCCCCGTATGGGAGGACTATTATCGTGCATGAGTAAAAACTCCTGACCCATTTGAATTCTGTGTAGAACCACAGCAGTCTCTACTACAAAAAAATTTAATTGAATTAGCTGTCATGTAAACATTGTGCTCCCGTAATTTAATTGTTTTAAAATAGTATATTGAACTGTATCGTGTTAGATTTATAAAAAAAGTGGAGAAAAGTGTTCAATACATGTGTGAGAGTGTTGTCAAGACATAATACGCAAATTAGACTGCATTATTGTGAATGTTATAGTGAACTATCAAAAGCAATAAAACTGATTAAATGTGCTATTTTTATATATAACTAAATACATCTAATATCCATTGATAACCAGTCGAGGCAAATTAAAACAGAAATATATCACAAGAAATAATTTAGAAACTTAAAAACTTAATTTGTGATTTAAAGTGACGGTTGAAGAAAAAATTTTTCAAACAAATACAAAACACTCATAACGAATCTGTCATTTCGTATTTGTAATAGAAGCACTGTTTTAAGTGACCAAGTAAGATGTCAAGGCGGCGAGTTGGCTATGCACACGAGTTGGTAAACTGAAACCGGGTTCGAATCTCTAACCTGTACATATGACTTTTTGTGAATATTTTAAATTTAAATTTGAAACACTATAAACAAAACAAACGTATAATAAAATAGTATAAAACTCAAGTTACGCAGAGTGCGTGACCGAGCAACTATTTTACAATTATTATTATAAATTTTTTTAAACACTTTGGTTCGTTGATGTAAATAATGGATTCCTGTGATAGAAACATCACGCAAAGATGCAAACAGCCTAAAGGTGTAAGCAGTCATAGCAGCTGTAAGAACAATTCCTTAAACATCTCTTCAAGCTTTTATCTTTCAGACAGCGCACAAAGCTTACCAGATTTATCGAAGGCATTGCTTAGTCATGAAGTGGAAGAGTTGAGAAGTGAAATAAAAAAACTAAGAATGGACTTACAAAGAACCCAGGATGAGGTTGACAACTTGAACTTAGAAAACCACACTCTTCAAGAAATAATTACTTCTCAAAAAACTAAAATGGAAAGACTTAAATTACTATGTTCAGATTCTTGCAGTATTAACAACAGTAAATTTTCCTCAAAAAAACGCAACAAATCTATGAAATCGAAGTGTGACTCTCTAAAAACTACCTTAAATTTAAACGAGAGTTATAGCGAATTGAATATCAACCTTGAGAACACTACTGTGACTCCGATTAAGCACACTCAACATAAGGAGAGGACATGCCATTATCCTACAGTTGACACGCCTAAGCGAAAGAAAAATTATGAATGTGAAGTAAATAATCAACCCATGACAGAGTCACAGTCAACACCAGTCCCCTCAACAGTAAACCCAATCGTTAATAAAACAATATGTTATAGGAATAGAGTTCTAATATTTTCGGACGGACATACACGTATGAGAAATATACTACAAAATTTGATAGGATCCAACTTCATCGTATCCACTTTAAGTAAACCTGGTGCAACGACTGACAAACTACTTGAGTCATCTCTTGAACTATGTAAAGACTATAATAAATTCGATTACGTTGTGATTGTTTGTGGTAATAATGATAGGGACCCATTAAGACTACAGTCAACTCTATATTTTCATTTGGATAAACTAGCACACACGAATGTGCTA